AGCCCCCGGCTGACGTGCAGAAATTGCAGCAGCAACTACAAGACATCAAAGAACAGGTAATGCCATACTAAGAAAGGTCTACTTACCAATTTATAAAGTTATCAATAGACTATCATGTAGTCGGTATCCAGAGACATCACTTATATTTACGTGTCGGCCTCCGTTACAAGTCCACGGTACTCGACATCGTGTTAATAGTATTTAATGTTTGCGGCTAGACGATGTGCCCCATCTGCCTGGACCGGCTGAAGAACATGATCTTCCTGTGCGGGCACGGCATGTGCCAGATGTGCGGCGACCGCATCGCCGTCTGCCCCATCTGCCGCAAGCACGTCGAGAAGCGCATCCTGCTCTACTAGCGCGCTGCCACTCGCACAACACTACTTACCACAAAACTTACTTGACCAATGCCTTTACTGTACATGGATTTATCCCTCAAAATTCATTCTAAGGTACTCTCTTAGTGATCACTACGCATTATGTTCCATTTATACTTACAATTATGGTATGGAACTGTTTAATTTTATTAAAACAAATTTAAATTATGTTAGTGGAAATATTTTTTACTCTTCATATTATTGAGATAAATGCGCTGAAGGTTACTGCAGTGTAATAATGATAACTGAATCTGCATTAATTTTATCGTTATAGAAATTTGCGCCCACAAACACAAAAACATACAACTTTCTAACAATCACTGTTTTAGTTCTATGGTTACGTAAAGGGGTTCTAATATAATACAACGACGGAGACATAAAGCGGTTGGTTTTTTAATCGACCCCTTGGTTAGAAAATAAAAAAAACACGATCAAGTTTTTGTTAATCCCAAACTTTAATCTCAAGTTTACTCGAGTAAAGCATTTATTATTTAGTAGATAATGAAAAATAAACATTATGTATGTGTAACGCACACAAATTTTAAATTATAACCAAGTAAATATTCTCGATGATGATTTTTTTAGAAACCGTGTTATGAAGTAAGGTCTTAAATGAATTTCTTCACTAAAAACTCATCATCAGCTAACTCTGTCTACTTTTATTGGCATAAACGTGAAGTTATAATTTTTCCCGTTAGTTACACAATACTAATACAAATTTATTTTAGATTAATTAATTATTATATGTAGATTAATATTATTTAATCTTTTCCATCGATCGTATCTTAATGTATGGTATCAGTATTTAGTGGTATTTTAAATCAATAGGCTAGTTATTCGAAGGGGAATGTCTATTGAGCTTTTTAACTCTTTTTCTCATTGCCTAATTTTATATTAATCTTCGTTTTTGTATAATATACGTATTGTAATTCTTACTTAAGGTTGATGTGTTACACCGTGTTCGCACCTTCGAAATATTCTCAAGTTTTAACGCTTATTTTTCTATCCATTAATTGACAATATTATCAAATCGAAATGTGTAAAACGCATCGTTAATTTTACTTTTAGATTCTTGTGTTTAATGTTCAAGTATTGCCAGTTATAACAAGACGGTACAATATATTGGGCGGTGAGAATCTACAGTGATACAATAATTATAGATTACAAATGTTATGTCGTGATTAATATACTCAATACAATATTTATAATGTCTATGCATTTGGATTTAATATAATGTCATTCACTGAAAAGTATATGAATTTTTCTAGTATCGATTTTCCAGACGAAGAAACGTCGAAGTAGAATCTAAGTATATGTAATAATTAATGTTTAATTTTGTGTTTACTCGTTAATTTACTGTATCCTATTTTAATGCTTCAATATTTAAAATAAAAGTGTTATGTTGAAATCAAAATTTTATTTATTGCAACATTTGCAAGAAAAATTACAAAATAAAATTCAAACAGAAAAGAGCATTCCTTCGCCAACGTACATCAGACAAAAATAAATCAATTAGTATAACTGGTTATAAGAGGGTCGTGTTCAACATTTTCCTTTACTTGTTGCACTTTGTCGACATCCCTGGGGGCGATGGGGGCGCTGGGGGCGGTGGGGGCGGCCGGGGTGCTGGGGGCACTGGGGGGCTTGTCGATAGTTCGGAATGTATCGACGTATTCGGGCGCGCGCTCGCGCAGTATTTCGCGCGTGAGTTCGTTGATCTTAAAGGCGAGGTGCATATCGCAGGCCAAATCGCTCTCCTCGCAGCGCCGGCAGTCCTTGAAATACTGCGCCGACACACCGCTCAGCTCTGGAGCCGTCGCGCAGTACAAGATCGTGCTCGCCGCTTGCCGCTGCTCATACAATATACATCAAAATCACATTTTATTATGAATAATTTGGATGTGAATAAAAAGACATTTAAACTTACAATGGTTTTTGAGAATGGCAACATCGTGGTGTAAAGAGCTTCGTAAACCCACCAATTGCGACATAACCGCGTCTTGATGAAAGACCCGGGATGCGCACAAAAAACAGTTTTTTCTGTATTTAACCACCGATAACCCAAATAATGCATTGCCAAAATTGAACATAATTTTGAAATGTTGTACGCTCTGATAGATGTATACTCTTCCTTTGGAATCGAAAGATGTTCCAAACTTGGCGCTGTTATCTTTGCCATGTTCCAATTTATGTTTCTGTAAATATAAAATAACATTATGATTTTGTTTTAAATTTACACGTAAATATAATAAAATGTATAATACCTGTGTGATTCAGAAGACGTAAAAACAACGCGTGCGTTAGGGGCAAGGATCTTTTCGATATTCATCAGTAAGTAATATTGACTAAGATAATTCACTTGGAATGCAGTTTCTAAGCCGTCTTCAGTGATGGTCCATGGAATCCCAAACACAGCAGCATTCAATATAACAATATCAATTTTTCTGGGGGAAAAATGAACACAGTCAATATTTTTTAAATACTTATTTGATTGTAGGTTTAATTTCTTTTATAAAGCATTAATTACTTATGCTCTTTCTGGAGATTGTCAGATAAGTTTTTAACAGAAGCGAGTGATGTGAGATTGACTTTGTGGATACTTATTTGATTTGCCTTTTCACAGGGGACACTTTTTACGGCAATATTTGCAGCGTAAGTGTTTCGACATGCCATCAAAACTTTACACCCCCGCGCAATCAAACATTTAGTTACTTCTAGACCGATCCCACTATTTGCTCCAGTTATTAGACATGTTTTATCTGCCAAATTAACATCTCTTGTTACCTAAAACATAAAAAAATACCGTAATAAGAAATTAGTGATAACCGGAATTGCTGCCAAAAACAATAATTTTTATACTTTTAGTGTTACACATGTTCAAATATACTGGATTTTTATTCCATATATATAAAGATATTGTACCATAAACTACCTCGTCAGCAGTTGGTCCATGTATCCTTACGAACTCTACATTTCTTTGTATAAATTTCAAGGCATTTTCCACAACCTCGTTTCTCCATATTGGTATGTTGGTGACATGTCTTGTATGTACCCGACTTATTATAGTAACCTTTCTGTAAAACGAATTAACTCTATACTTTCTGTTAGGATGATGGGCAACGGGCAAAGCGAGCGGATGAATTCACTAAACTGAAGCAAAGTCGGCGACTTAATGAACACACGCAATTTGCAACAATTTCATAATTTAAGACACTACAATATTATTAGTACACTTAACATTAGGACCTAACTCTTTAATTACCAGTTATATAATTATAACTGCCTATAACAGTTATTTCGAGAGGCGATATAAGAAGAACATTTCTCTACATTGTAAAAAGAGTAATGCAAGTTACCTTTACCTAGAAATATTAGCGAAGATCATTTCTTAAATTACATGAATTATCAGATTACAATTTAAATATAACTAAGATGTTGACTTATTCGATTTGCTTTTAATTTAAATTGTCGTTGGCATTAAATTGTATTTAAAATACTTCACAAATACAACCTCTTAACTAACCGATTGCCAGTGAACTTTTTAGCGCAAACTTTAACTATTGGAAACGCTAATTAATAATAGCACTTTTGGAATTAATTTTTAATTATGTTTCTTGCATGTAGCGATTACATATAAAAGACGGACGATATTTTTTTATCGATCCATTGGCAAAAAGTCACGAATCATAACCCGGAACCATGAAAGTATTTAAATAAAATGTCATACGTCAAAATTTCTGTGCTCTTTGGATGTCAGTGTCAAAACTTGCATGATTTATGTCAATGTCAATCCGAGTAAACAATGTGGGAAGTGTATGTTGATATGTTTTAGATTCTTGTATTATTATTATTTTAATAAATGCACTAATTACGTCGATTAAAACTGACAAAACACATTTTAAATGGTATTCAAAATATAAAAATAGGCCCAAGTAAGCATTTTAACGATGGACAAGCGGGGAAAGCGGCACCATTCCTCATCAGATTCTGATAGCGCAGAAGAACAGCGGAAAAAGGATATAAAAGAACGAGATGAATTCGCTAAGAGATTAAAGAAACGTGATGAAGAAAAGGTAAAAAAGGTAACAGAGTCCACAAGTAAACGCTCTTATGAAGAAGCAGCTAAGCGCCTTAAATTGGAAGCAGATGACAGGAACAAAATTCTACCAAAACTGAGAGTTCAATCTCGGCGCAAGTATTTAGAGAAAAGAAAAGAAGACAAAGTACTAGAATTGGAGGCAGATATAGCTGATGATGAATATCTGTTTGATGAAAGTGTGTAAGTATTATACCATTAGTCAGATCTTGACAAATGTAAAAAAAATACCTTTGAAATACCTTTTGTCTCTTTTATTTAAAACCATCATTGTCCAGTTGTTTTAATTAGATCTTGTTATTAAATTTCAGGTTAACAGAAAAGGAGAAGAAAGAAAGAGAACATAAGAAAACCATATTACAATTAGCTAAAGAGCATGAGAAAGCCAGAGAATTGGAAAATGTGCAAAGATATCATATGCCCAGGGATTTGGGTAAAGGTGAAAAAGGTTTGTAGGAATATATTACTATTCTGATTTACAACTTGTAACATTTAGTTAGTTTATTTAACAGATAAACAAATTATAAATCTATTACAGGTGAGTATATTGAAGTTGACGAAAATGAAAAACTACCACATTCAGAACAACGTAAGTGGGAACAAGAACAAATAAAATCAGCATTCTTTAAATTTGGAGCGAAAGATGCAAAAGCAAAAGATGAATATGAACTCTTGCTCGATGAACAAATTGATTTTATTCAAGCCCTTCAATTGGAAGGCAATAAAGAGAAAAAGGAAGATGAAGAGAAATCTGAATATCAAAAGATACGAATGACAATTGAAGAAACTAAGAAATCTCTTCCAGTTTATCCTTTTAGAGAATCTTTGATTGAAGCCATAAGAAATTATCAAATACTAATTGTAGAAGGTGAAACAGGATCAGGTAAAACAACCCAAATTCCACAATACTTACATGAAGCTGGATTTACAAAAGATGGAAAAAAAATTGGATGTACACAACCAAGAAGAGTTGCTGCAATGTCAGTAGCAGCTAGAGTTGCTCAAGAAATGAATGTTAAACTGGGAAATGAAGTTGGTTACAGCATTCGGTTTGAAGATTGTACATCTGACAGAACTGTTATTAAATATATGACAGATGGAACACTACATAGAGAGTTTCTCTCAGAGCCAGACTTGGCATCTTACAGTGTTATGATTATTGATGAAGCTCATGAGCGTACTTTGCATACCGACATTCTATTTGGTTTGGTAAAAGACATCACTCGGTTTAGACCTGACTTAAAATTACTTATATCAAGTGCCACATTAGATGCGGAGAAATTTTCAAACTTTTTTGATGAGGCTCCAATCTTTCGTATACCAGGTAGAAGGTTTCCAGTTGATATTTACTACACTAAAGCTCCAGAAGCTGATTATGTAGATGCATGTGTGGTGTCTGTTCTGCAAATACATGCCACTCAGCCATTAGGAGATGTACTTGTCTTTCTAACAGGTCAAGAAGAAATTGAAACATGTGTAGAGATGTTACAGGACAGAACTAAAAGATTAGGAAAGAAGATTAAGGAACTGTTAATATTACCAGTATATGCAAATCTACCAAGTGATATGCAAGCGAAAATCTTTGAACCAACCCCAGAGGGAGCCAGAAAAGTTGTGTTAGCAACGAATATAGCTGAAACATCACTTACAATTGACAATATTATATATGTTATTGACCCAGGATTTGCAAAACAGAACAATTTTAACTCCAAAACTGGAATGGAGAGTTTAATGGTTGTTCCAATATCTAAAGCATCAGCTAATCAAAGAGCTGGTAGGGCTGGAAGAGTGGCGCCAGGAAAATGCTTCAGACTTTATACTGCATGGGCATATAAATATGAACTAGAAGATAATACTGTCCCAGAAATACAGAGGATTAATTTAGGAAATGCTGTTCTCACTTTGAAGGCATTAGGAATCAATGATCTTATTCACTTTGATTTCTTAGATCCTCCTCCTCATGAGACTCTAGTTCTAGCTTTGGAACAACTGTATGCTCTTGGAGCACTTAATCATCATGGAGAGTTGACTAAAGCTGGCAGGAGAATGGCTGAGTTCCCAACAGATCCTATGTTGGCTAAAATGCTGTTAGCCAGTGAAAAGTAAGTTTTATTTTTTAATAAGCTATTTTAAAATATCCCTAATTAAAAGTATGCATTCATGTCCAATTCACCTTACATTCCTTAAAATTATGATCAGAAAATATCACATATCCTTTTTATTAGTTTATTTTTTTTCCAGATATAAATGCTCAGAAGAGATTGTTAGCATTGCGGCTATGTTGTCAGTCAATAGCTCAGTATTTTATCGACCTAAGGATAAAATAATACATGCAGATACAGCTAGAAAGAACTTTTTCCATAGAAATGGAGATCACTTGACACTGATGAATGTGTATAACCAATGGGTAGGCTCTGATTACTCAGTGCAATGGTGTTACGAAAACTTTATACAATACAGATCCATGAAGAGAGCTCGCGATGTCCGAGAACAACTTGTTGGGTTGATGGAAAGAGTAGAGATTGATATGGTATCAAGTATATCTGATGACACAAATATCAGAAAGGCAATCACGGCTGGATATTTTTATCACATTGCAAAATTTTCTAAGGGTGGACATTACAAAACTGTAAAACATAATCAAGTGGGTATCATTTCATTAAATGTTTTTCATACACATTGAAAAAAATCTTATAAGCATATTTTAACTTCAATTTTATGGATTCAACTAACCTAAATTACTTTCATTGTTTTACTTTTGCAGACTGTAATGATTCATCCAAACAGTGCTTTATTTGAAGAGTTACCAAGATGGGTTATTTATCATGAACTAGTTTTTACATCAAAGGAATTCATGAGACAAGTCACTGAAATAGAAAGTAAATGGCTTCTGGAAGTGGCGCCACATTATTACAAATCAAACGAGCTGGAGGATTCCACAAATAAAAAAATGCCTAAAACCCTAGGAAAATCTGCAAGTAAATAAAAAGTCTGTGATAAAATCTAACTCTTTTAATTTAAGTTAATTATTTTTAATAAATAAAATTGCTAAATTTAGTAACAACAAATGTTTTCAAAAGTCAGACACTCTGCCTTTTCTCTCCCAGTCTCCATATCGAGTTGGTTCGGGCCCCCGAGGGCCACCAATTTCTCCAGTATGAGGGTTGGTGTCATTGGGCCACGGTGGCAAAGCATTCTCTTGATTAGCTGGATTAGTAAATGGCTGTTCACCGAGATCGTTGATAGGAGTAGTTTCTCTTAACTTTTTACGAAATTCTGCCATACGTTTAGATTCGGCTTTTGCTGACGCATCTTCTGTATCAACCTTGGAGTCATGGGAATGCTGACATAATTGCATTATCAGAGTAGTCTCATCTGAAAAGAAACAAGTTTTATAAGTGCTTTTTTCTGTTTTTGTTTTAATATTTCTATATTTATGTGAAATCCTAAGTATAAGAAAATTGGCTGGTACCTCGCAAAAAACGTCTCAATGCTAGTGCCTTAATAGATATCATAGTAAGTAATTAAGAAAAACAGGTATTATTGTTCAAAGTCAACTGCGAAATATTTACAATACAACAATGTCATAAAATGTCAACTTGCCAATGACATTTGGTTTAAAATCGTTCCATTTTATCGTTCTCGATTTATTATATGCCAGTGTGAGTAACGTAATGTAAATTTTTTTTTATTTAAGGATTTAAAATTGTTTTTTAAATTCCTAATAGTTCTTTGGTCCATCGACTTGTGAATCGAAGTTGTCAGTTTAAAAAAAGTTTTGTCTATTGTTGTTCGTCTATGGAAATATCATATGATCAATTTTGTTCACACAAGTTTTCATCTTCCCCTCGATCTTTGCATTCTTGATCGATTAAACTTCTACATACCAAAGGAATTGGAAAGAAGTTTATATCAAAATGAAGGGGTGCATTTTCAATATTGACGCTGGGTATTTAGAGGGGTTGTGTCGCGGTTTCAAGTGCGGGATTCTGAAGCAATCCGATTACTTGAACTTGGTGCAGTGCGAAACATTGGAAGGTAAATTATCGTAATCATTTATTTTCACAATGTACACCTTACTTACTTTATATTGTAGTATTCCCATTGGGATATTAAAGGAAGACGTAACTGAAAATCATAATGACGTCTTTAGATTCAAGAAAAATCACAATTTAAAAAATCATGTATTCCTTGCAGATTTAAAGCTTCACTTACAGGGTACTGATTATGGTACATTTTTGGCTAATGAACCAAGCCCCTTGTCTGTATCGACTATCGATGACAAGCTTCGTGAAAAACTTGTCATTGAATTTCAACACTTGAGGAACCATTCAGTGGAGCCACTGTCCACATTCTTGGACTTCATTACGTACAGTTACATGATTGACAACATCATACTTTTGATTACTGGTACTCTGCATCAGAGACCTATTTCTGAATTGATCCCCAAGTGCCACCCATTGGGATCATTTGAGCAGATGGAAGCTATCCATGTAGCTGCCACACCCGCTGAGCTGTACAATGCTGTGCTGGTGGACACTCCTCTGGCTCCATTCTTTGTAGACTGCATCAGTGAACAAGACCTTGATGAGATGAACATTGAAATTATCCGCAACACTCTGTATAAAGCTTATTTGGAAGCTTTTTATGAATTCTGCAAGCAGATTGGTGGATCTACCGCTGATGTTATGTGTGAAATTTTGGCTGTAAGTAGATTTTTTTAATATAAATCTTAGTGGTGTTAAAATTAATTACATGTATCCTAACTCATTATAAATGAAGTCAAGCAAAGCTTTTGTCTACTTTTTATTGTTGTTTGAGGTAAAGAAAGATACTAGTTAGATAACATACTTTTTTAATGAAATATAACAAATAATAAAATGATTTTAAATGTTGTTATTGATTTTTAGTCTTATTAATCCATACTTAGCAATATGTAATCAACATATTTTTTCAGTTTGAAGCTGATCGTCGTGCTATCATCATTACTATCAACTCTTTTGGAACTGAGCTGTCCAAAGATGATCGTGCAAAGTTGTACCCTCGCTGCGGTAAACTGAACCCTGATGGGTTGGCTGCGCTCGCCAGAGCTGATGACTACGAACAAGTCAAAGCTGTTGCTGAATACTATGCTGAGTATGCTGCACTATTTGAAGGTGCTGGCAGCAATGTTGGTGATAAGACATTGGAAGATAAATTCTTTGAACATGAGGTAATTTCAAATTATTCTTTTAATTTACTCAAAAAAGATGTCTTTTGTACAGATATTTTGTGTTCAATGTTGAACTACTTTACCTATCAAATTGACATTTAGCTTTAGGCTAGTTCTTAACTTTGCTAAAATAAATGGCACTATAATTTTATTGTATCAAAGTGAAGGTAGATATTTTATATTAATTCAATGATTTATTTGTACAATATTTCAATAGCACAATTTGTTTGTATTCACAAACACAATCTCACAAAATCAATAACCTAATAAAGTAACAATTACTATTAATTATAACAATTTTATTTCAGGTAAGCCTAAATGTGCATGCATTTTTGCAACAATTCCACTTTGGAGTTTTCTATTCTTACCTGAAGCTGAAGGAGCAGGAATGCAGGAACATTGTGTGGATAAGCGAATGCGTCGCTCAGAAACACCGCGCCAAAATTGACAACTATATTCCCATTTTCTAAACTAAAGCTTCATATTCAAGCGACCTTGCAATGTAAATATGTTGACAATTCCAGTTCAAATTGTTAAATAGAAAAACAGAGCAGAATATACACAGTGTTTAAGAAATAAATGTAAAACAAACTAGAATGCAAAATGGTCTATAAATGTTGAAAATTGATTTAATCTAAAATTTATTCAAGCATTCCATAGCATACTTATGTGTGCAATATATTAAAGGTGGTTGAAATTGAATAATCAAATAAGCTAATACTTCAAATTATTATAAATTCCCTATTTAGTAAAATTAATATTTATCTATCAATTCTTTAAATTTCATATTATAATTAATTGCATTAAGCCTGAATGATACTTTTAATTTATTTTCAAGTTTGTACTGCTATATGTTATGTTTTATTATCAAAGAGCAGTAATCATTGTATTTTTGAAAAGGGTTAATTTGCCGTTTTCAATTTTGTCTGTAAATTACAAACACCACATTATATTAGAAGAGTTTTATTAATGTTAGCATCATGTATTATTGTATTAGATAAAATAAAATATGTTAAAACAATTTGTTTTATTTACTTTGCTTTCCATAAAGTCCTTCATTTTCATTACTTGCATTATAAAGTTTGTACTTTTCCCTAATGTCCCATTATGGTGAAAACAGAAAATGTGAATTGAGAGGTTTTTGGAGGATTTGCAGTTCCCATACAAAAGCTCCCCAATATGATCAAAATGATGTAAGGGCAAAACATAAAAATCTGTTAGTATTTTATTGGCTGCTAAACTCAACGATACATTTAGAATTGTTGAGTGTAATACAACCAATTTTAGGAGAAATACAATTAAAAACAATGACAAGTAATAAAAACATTTAATAAATAATTAACTTGATGTTACTTCTGGTATTACAGTTATTCTGTCACATAATTGTGCATTTATGATTTCTGTTATAGGTCCGTTGTATATAAAATACTGCTTAGATTTTATGGTAAATAAATCTTTATGATCTCTCCAAAAACTGTCCTTCAACATGTCATCATGAACATCTACTATTATTGTGGAACATTTGTCTGAATCATCAATATTTACATTCTTTCTCAATAAAAGTGTGCCACGTTTAAATATTTCTAGTTCATTGTTATAATTTATGTTAAACTCTTTGAACAAGATTTCATTTTTATCTGCTGAGACTGTGCCACATAAACGTTTCTCCGCCTGAAACAAAATATAGGATTAAAAAACTATAACTTCCCTTAACAATAATATTAAGTTACTTTATAAAACTTACCTGGGTAGGACTGAGATTTCCTTCTTGAACTAATGTCCAAAATGTAGTATTATATAAATTGTTTATATGAACGTCTGCTTGTCGCCACTTCATGTAGTCTATCAAGGTGTCCTCATTGGGATACAATACTATCCGGCCGTCAAATGAAGGGGGATACAATAATTGTTGGTCGCCTAGAAACTTTTTCCAATAATAAACATATGAAGTTGAAAATTTACTAGTAATTGTAGTCAAAAGTTTTGCAGCACGTCTCTTGTACAGATTACATTGCTTTTTAAAAACGAAAGAGTACTCGTCACTTTGCCCGAAGCCCATTAACAAATCACTAAAATCTCGCATTACACTAAAAGCAGCGTAGTTCATTAACTTTAAAGCTCTTAAATCGTTCGGTTTTTTGAAGTTATGATCGTCGGCAAATTTATGAAAACATTTCCCATCAAGTCTCACAACTATCCATGTGTTTGGTAGTAATGTATCATCCAGTTCAAACTTTTTCACGTATTCGAAGGAGCTTTTTGCCATTTTGGAAATACGTAGGTATCTTTGAGCTTTAAGAATTTTATCAAACAGAGACTCAGCTTTAAGTAACATAAAATCGAGTATTAAAGTTTGTTTATAAGTGAAAATATGAAAGGTCGGTTCCTTTAAGGTCCCTTTTCCCACTTTGATCTGTCAAACTGTCAAAATAAGTTATCGCAGATAACATGATCGTGAGAACAGACAATAAATTATTTTAAAAGTACCACGTTTTTTTTAATTAAGATGGGGTATGAGAAATTAACCAAAAATTCAGGACCTGGTATTAAATTAAAAATGAATTAATTATCTTTTTATTTATATAGATCAATTTTCCTACACATAACCCAAGATGATTTTTAAGAATTAATTTAATATTTATAAGACAAGCAATTTTTAAAAGTACCCAAATAGTTGAAATAAAATTAATTAATTTACTTCAATCATTATTTAACAATATAATTTTTCACAAGCAATTATGTATAACTTTATAATACTAACACAATTATAACTTTATAATTGTACAAAATAAGAATTACCATGGAATGATTTAATGATTTGTGATAGATACTTACATTATGAACTTTTACTTTTATGCAAAATATAATTATTAGAAACAAACATTACAATTATTATACAAAAGTTACGTAAATGTACAGATACAATAACTAATTTCATTCAATAAAATAAAATAATTTGCTAAACTCAGAAATGAATTAGTTACAAAATAATCTTATCATATTCAGCATTAATTTACAAGAAGTTTCTTAACCTCCTCAGGAGTTCTGCGAACAATTCCTTGAGGTTCCACATAACTGTTAGCTGGGTCATGTATAGCTTTGTATAATTGTTCATAAATTGCAAATATCACTTCAAAAGCTCTTTTCTTAATAACAGATTTGTGATTGTGACTGATGAGCAAGTTAAGTTGTGGTAAAATATACACATCAGGTGTTACTAAAAACATATCAAATTTGTTCAAAAATGTTTTAAGTGTGGCTGTGTCCATGCCAGGTATAGCAGAAAGGGGACCACTAATCTTTTCTTGTAAAATTGTGTACATTGGTCCCATATTTAAATTGGCAACAAGGAAACTAGCCTGTTCTGATGTTAGAGTGTCTATTTGTGCCTCCGACTGTGCCTGCAGTCTTTCATTATATTCATCCAGGATAGTATACAATGATAATGTACACTGTATATGATAAATACAGTTCAACATATAAACAGACATATCAGTGGAACTTAAATGGCAAGCTGTTTCATTAATTGCATGCAACAGTGGATCTAATATATGAGTTGTTATTATTCTCTTGTCAGTCTTAATAGCATTGTTTGACAAATTCATTATATCTCTAAGGAAGCTAATCAAATCAGTTACAACTACAGATGGATTCAAATCCAGAGGAGGTGCTTTTACACCATGACTCAATTCTTTTTGTACTCTGTTATCTAGAGTTACCAGAAACATGTCTTGGCTTTTTTTTATTAATTCATCAAATGTGTCTATCAAGTGTCCTTTAGTTATTGTAGATTGTATGATATTCTTATAGTATAACATTAAATTTGTAATTGACCATAAAACTAGTGCATCCTTATCTGGTGTTAATATAAGTTCAGCTCTGACTTTGAGCAAAGGGCATAAAGCTTCCATGATGTTAGTCAATGCATATGTAATTTTCTCATCTTTATCAGGCATTGTACAATATTTAAATAATGTACAAAGATTATCTTTTTCAATAGGTATTATTTGATATACCCATGCTAATATATCTCCAATATATCTTGTTGTTTCATTTGCATAGAACTCTAAGGGTTTTGAGTTGTTGTTGCCTTTAGTAAGGACATCAATAAACAACTGCACAACAGTTGCCTTTCTAGCATTACAATATTCATCAATTATATTAGAAAAAAGCACCTGCCTGTTTTCAAATTTACCCAATGCTTTAGGTACTAAAGCATTATTTGGTGAATCAACCAACAGACACGCTCCAATGGTCCAGTGATATAATTTTTCAATTGCTACTTCTTGTTGAAGCCCAATCATCTCCATTATTTCAAAAGCAGGTGTTTGATACCAATGTTTTACCAGAATTTTACAATTTTCATATAGCTTTTCTATCTGTGACATGGTATTGAAGAAATCAAGGGTAAGAGGTGTAACATTATAAAGTATTTTAATTTGTTCTGGTGCTATTTGAAATTCCTTGACAAATGCATCAACCCACAGGAGTTTCTTTTTAGTTTTCTTCCTTTCTTCTTTTAATTTCGTAGTTTGCGTAATTATATGATGAGTTTTAGTTTTAGACTCTTGAAGTCTATTAGACATATCAGACACAGCGACATCCAAAGAAGAAATCGCATTTAACAAGCTTTGTAGCTTATCCTTAACTTTATTGTATTCGACAAGGACTGCTTTATTAACTAACAAGTCCCTTTTTTCTATCTCATTAACCAGAATTCTTCTTGTATACGCTGAATTAGCTGAGCACAAACCTGACACTGTGTATAAAGCTTCACTATCATCAGTTATTAGGTGACTATCAAATATTTTATTTATTTTCTGTCTAATTGGATTGTTATAAAACGAATCCATGTTTTCACACTTTTGTTAACTTTTCCAAGTAAAATTGCTAGGCAGTTATTCACAACTGTAGAAAACCTAATATCTTAACAAATCAGTAACTGTATTTCGACACATAAGAAAATAAAAAATATTCCTGAAAAAGTTCTATCCTTATTAATCTGACAGTTGGCACTGCAAATATATTCAAAGACTAAAACTAAAACATAGAATTTGTATCTCGAACGGTAATCCATTTAAGTTTAACAAAAACTGGTCATCAGAGTCATATGGATCTTAAAAAAAGTGGCTTGGTACAAAAAAGTTACTCTTTTCAATTCTAATAGAGATGTAATTAATAATAAGCTATTGGTAAGTAATTTGTAAAAATAGTTTGGTAGTTGATCAATCTTATAACGTAAGTACTCTTTGGCATAAGAACTTGACTTTGACATTTCCTATTTACTTCAAATTATAACCTTAAACTTATTCAAAAATAAATTTCTCTGAAATATTTATTTTTGAATTTGGGCCATGGGTTCTCGACAAATTACAGAAAAATCCTTGTCAATTATAAGATCGTTGCCCCGAATTTCTATCGGTAACATACGCGATAACCCTGGTTCAAAAGTCACAGTAAGTACTATTTGTCCAGTATTATTTTAGTTTTCACCCATATCCTTTCTCTTATACTTAATTTTTTGCACTTGTACTAAGCAGATCCTTAAGTGTATTGTAGTAGAAATATTTACTGTTTTATTTCCTTAGCAAAAACGAGGCCGTGGTCAACACGGTGGTGATAAACATGGTGCTGGAAATAAAGGATCAGGTCAAAGACAGAATTATATGAGATTAGGATATGAGACAGGAAACAATCCTTTTTATCTACGGATGCCCCAAGAGCCATACTACAAAGGACACCAGTAAGTATATCTACATAATTGTTACCTACACTTCCTTATTGCACACATTCATGAATCAAAAATATGTAAATTATTCACATAATAAACCAAAAAATGCACAAATTATAGAATAAAAATAAATTCAAACAAATAATATTAACCAGTAATATATTAGTATGATGTGGAAGGCAGAGTATCGAATTATGTGCCCCACTGCTGGCCCATGTCCAGTAGTGGGCAAAGGTTGATAATTCTTGTTTAGAGTAAGTCTTTAAATAAAATTCACTAATGGAAAATTTGTTCAATTTTAGCCATAGAAGAGAATATCCGCCACTATCATTATTACAACTACAGACTTTAATTGACACAGACAGAATTGATGTGTCAGTTCCTGTTGATATTGCAAGTATTATAAAATCAGGATTATATAAATTTCACCCGGAACAGAAACAGTTTGGTATAAACTTGACAGATGAGGGTGCAGATATATTTGCTGCAAAAATTAACATTGAAGTGCAATGGGCAAGTGAACAAGTGATCGCTGCAATTGAGAGAAATGGTGGAGTTATAACAACTGCATATTATGATCCACATAGTCTATTCCTGTTGAAAAATCCAGTGCAATTTTTCAAAACTGGACAAGCTATTCCAAGGAGGATGATACCACCACCAGATGTCATTGAATATTACACTAGTGCTGAAAACAGAGGTTATTTAGCTGATCCAGAAATGATATCACAAGAAAGACTAAAATTGGCACAAAAATATGGATATGAATTGCCACAACTAGAAAATGACTCATTCTATACAATGTTGTGTGAAAGGAAAGATCCTCGGCAGATCTTCCATGGCTTAGAACCTGGATGGGTAGTGAATTTGAAGGATAAATGCATTTTAAAACCGACAGATAGAGAATTATTAAGGTTTTACTCGTCATAAATTAAATAAAAGGCCCCTTAATATTACTGATTTGTTTATTGTACCATAGGTGAAATAACATTTAACAACTTGTCATTAAGTAAAAAATGCAAACTGAAACAATGTTTATTGCTTTTATGTTCAATGCGCAAGTAGTAGTAGTAGTAGGGGTTGCGGTTTCCGAAACTCCACGGCTAGCGCATATTTTTCAATATAAACTTGCAATGTATAAAATTCTGTAAACTTTAAATGCACACTTTCTTGTAACTTACAAGTAATATATGATAAATCATTTCAGAAAAATAGTTTGGTTGTTACTTTCCATCTCTACTACACAATTAATATCTGTAGTGATCTGGTTTGAAAGGACCTTCAGCAGGTACACCAATATATTTGGCCTGCTTTGGTGTTAGTTTTGTGAGTTTCACACCAAGATGGTCCAAATGAAGTGAAGCTACTTCTTCATCTAATTTTTTAGGCAAAGTGTGAACTCCAATGGGATAAGCATTGTGCTTGGTCCACAATTCAATTTGAGCCAAAACTTGATTAGTGAATGAATTGGACATAACAAATGAGGAGTGTCCTGTAGCACAACCCAAGTTGACAAGTCGCCCTGCTGCAAGTACTATAATGTGGTTTCCATTTTCCAATTCATAGCGATCTACTTGAGGCTTAATATTTACTTTCTTGGCATTATTGTCCAACCAAGCAACATCCACTTCACAATCAAAGTGTCCAATGTTACAAACTATTGCATCATCTTTCATTTTTAGGAAATGATCCTTGCAAATAATGTCTATGTTTCCTGTTGTGGTGACAAATATTTGGCCTACTTCAGAGGCTTCTTCCATGGTGGTCACTTGGAATCCTTCCATGGCTGCTTGAAGGGCATTAATTGGGTCTATTTCAGTGACAATTACCCTTCCTCCAAAACCTTTAAAAGCTTGTGCACAGCCCTTACCAACATCACCATAACCAGCAACCACACACACTTTTCCTGCAATCATAATATCAGTTGCCCTCTTGATACCATCTAATAGTGACTCCCTGCATCCATATAAGTTATCAAATTTGCTTTTTGTCACTGAATCATTGACATTTATTGCAGGAACTTTCAAGTGTCCCTCACGGAACATTTTGTACAAATTGTGTACACCAGTTGTGGTTTCCTCAGAAATGCCTTTGACATTTTCTAAAAGATGTGGATACTTCTTGTGTACCAAGTTAGTTAAGTCACCACCATCATCTAATATCATATTAAGAGGCTGTAAAAAGAAAAAACACAAATTAAAAAAAAGTTTTAAATGTAGGCAACTGTTAATGAGAAACTATTTATTTTCTTCTTTACCAAAGACCAATTTTTCTTATTATAATAATATTACAATAATAAGTATGATACTTTATGGCACATCATAGCATTTTAAAAACAATAATTACAATGTTTAAACTTATTTTATAAATTAACTTTGAATAATAATTAAGAAATGAAATAATTCTCACTACTTACTTTGCCATCAGCAAAGATGAGTGTCTGTTCAATACACCAGGTGTACTCTTCTTCAGTTTCACCTTTCCAGGCATAAATGGGTATCCCTCGGGCTACAAGAGCAGCTGCAGCTTCATCCTGCGTGCTGTATATGTTACTGCTTGACCATTGAACCTGAAATTAAATTAAAATACAAATTATAAAAACAAAATACTCTACAAGTTAAATTTAAGGAAGAAACTGTTTTGACAACCCTAATGTAAAAAAAACAATAAGCAAAATCTCAAAGGCATTTTTCCTTTATGTTTTCAAAATAGAATTGTTCAGTATAGATTTAAATATTGCATCACTGTTTCAGATTAAAGTTAACTGATAACCTCTTACTCACATAAGTTCAACAAAATTATCATAACAGATAAGGAGTGTTTTCACATAATGATTGTTTAAAAATCATGCGTCAATGATTTTCATACAGAAATGAATGATAAAATACTTATTATCATTGCAAATATTATTTTTTTGTGATGTGTAACTTAACAGCTAAGAATTTGATATGAAATCAGTAGACATTAATCTCATTTGAGAACTCCCTTATCTTAGAAGAGATAAAGCTTGTTTCCAACAACTTATCAATAATGATAAAATCAATGAGATGAATATTGATAGAAACATGATGAAAGATCTTTTAATGGAAATAAAACATCTATTCTTTCATAGTACAATCTTACTAATATAATAAATGAGTAAAATTTAAAAGGATGGATGGATGCTTGTTAGGGTTTGTAGCCTTAACAGATTTTGATGAAATTTGGCATATATGTAAAGTATAGTCTGGAAGAACACATAGGCTACTCAGTTTTGTTTTTTTCTAGTCCCACGCAAACGGAGTCGCAGGCGAAAGCTAGTATTTTATAAAGAGACCAATTCTTGTATAAATTTTGGTTAGTTGCAAAATTGTATTAAGGATAGGGATTTTATTTACTTATGAAGTTAAAAGATTTCCATCATTTTTTGGTGCCTTTGGATTACTGACAAAGAATATAAATCAATATATCAAGCTATTTTACTTGTAGATGACCTTCTACATAGTCAATTTTTTGAGTAAACTTAGTAGAATGAAAAATTGCTAGAGTTTTTTCTCTTTTATCTAAATTTTTATAGTATAATCTTTTCCATTCTTGATATCATATCAGGCCTATATTTAAATGTTTTAAAAGATATGGTTAGAAAAGGTAATATAGATTTTTAATGCTTATCAGTGGTTTTGAAATATGAGAAACATCTTTTATGAGTCCATGTTGCAAATAAATATGTAATACTGATCTTATGTATGTGGTTAAATGCACACGAAATTTAAGCAAAAATGGGTAAATCAATTTAAGACTTAACATAACTTATAATAGTCTCTTATGAAAAGTTCTAATTTTTGGATCCCCAAATAATTGCTTTGAAAATTATAGCTTTTACTACAAAAAGATATAATACATAGACTTACCTCTGCTCCCAATTCAATGAGTGTTTCTATAAGTACAGCAGTTTGTACTGTCATGTGAAGGCTCCCAGCTATTCTGGCACCTTTGAGAATTTGACCAGGGGCATACTTGCGGCGACAAGCCATAAGTCCTGGCATTTCTTTCTCTGCTAGCATTATTTCATTGCGGCCCAACTCAGCCAAGTTCAAGTTCGCTAAAAAAGAATACCATTGCAATGGAAATCCTATATTAATCTTGAAATCATAAAATTATCGATAATATCGAAAAGATACTATCTAAATCACTTCTTTTAATATACATCGGTAATAACTATTAATATGGTGTAATCTTTGTTATTGTTGGCATGTCAGACACATGGGAATTAAGATAACCTAAATGATTGATAAAGGCGCCTTTTATAGCTAAAGACCAAACTAAAATTTATAATAAAGTATACAATATGTATTTACGTACGTAGTTTGTAAATACATATGTAGTAACAAGGTAAATTAGAAATTAAATGAGTATATTACCTATTTTGTACGGCGGCTTCATTTTCTCTTTTTATATGTTAATTCTGTAAGTAAAATTTACATGAAATATAAAATTTTGTTATTTTTAATAATTAGATATCTTGAAAATTACAGTAAAACTTAAAAGCACCTACGAAAATAATATAAGAGGCTAAGTTGAACCGCACGGAGCAGAATTTCAAGTAAAATGACAGATTACAGTTGTGAGAGAAGAGGGCTGGTTCATATGACAGATACAGATTCAATATTGAGATCTAAATTGGGATTGACAGATAGTTTAATATTGCGATCAAAAGAACCGAGTACGAAATCCAATGGAATCAAGCGGAATCTTTCAATTTAGATTAAACTGACGAAAAAGTAAACTTTTTATATACTCTTGGCCGGTACTTAAGATTACGTTAAATTATTTTTCTATAAAACTCAATTGTCACCTCCCACAGGTGTACTTATGTATGTCTTGACAATATTTTTAAAACTTCAAGCTGAACATCCCAAAAGCTCAAAAGGTGTAGGTATGTAAGACGTAATGAAAATTCATTTAACTTTAAAATGTTTTATTACATTAGAACAGTTACAGAATAGTAGTCATAGGCATAACAAAAAGAAATAAAAAATGTAACAAAATAATTTCAATTAATATTCATTTGCGCAGGAAAAGTGGGTGGTACGCATCGACTCAATGCCTATGATTCTACATCAGAACCTTTCACGGCATGGCACTAGTCCTCACACATTCTCCTATCATCCTTGACATAAGTACGAAATATGAGAACTGCGATTCAACTGATTACTTCAGACTCAGACATGCAAATTGAATTGTAACATAAACTTGCTTGACTACACACTCCTCATAAAAAATCTTACATAATTCTCGCAAACATCATCCCTGTCAGTGATGCTCACAGACTAGCAGACACTCTACAAATTATAAACCTGGTTTAATGCGTTTAAATATTGCCCTTTAGCATAACGTTTTTCGTTAGTTTGGGTGTTGCCGTCATAGATGTGGCTACAAGAACATTAAACTTCACAATATTCACACAACAGACAGAAATTCGTCAAAGTTAAAGGCACTCGTTAGGTATAGATATTGAAAAGGAACAACTGTTTTGAAAGAAAAGTTATTGTCAATTATTCGTAAATTTCAAAACAAGTAATGCATTGCAGTCGCTGAGCACAGCTCAGTTGGGTTGTGGTGCATTAACATTTCGATAACATTTTAATCCACGGCAGTCTTAATTGATATGACTTCATACGATTTTATAAGTAACCTTGTAAAATATAAAATTGTACTGTTAATTTGAAGTTGAATAATATGATAACTTGTACAAATCACAAAAATTACCTGAGATTCATGTTAAATTTCATAATAGTGCATCTTGTTTTTTTTAATGGACAGTTACAGGTAAATGTTAAATACCGCGGTTAATATTAAAATGCCACGATAGTTTAACAATGTAAAGTAAAATCTTTTTTAATTACATATGTACAAATTATACGAAGCTGGATGAGAAGGCAGGGATCACTTTAACCATCACATGGGCATTATGAAACACTTACTTTTACTTTTATATATTGTAAAATTAAACTTAAAATTT